CTCTCTCTCTCTCTCTCTCTCTCTCTCTCTCTCTCTCTCTCTCTCTCTCTCTCTCACACACACACACGCACACACAAATATTAACATACACAGGCATGTGCGCGCGCACAAACTGAAACACCCGCTTGTGTGCACACACACCTCGTCCCCCTCTCTCCGCCATTTCCTCCTCCATGCACTCTCTCAATATTGGCATGACCTCATCGCACTACTGAGTAGAACAGCCAACCAGTTGAACCAGGCAGATTTCACACTGAAGAGGGGGGCACTCGTCACCTCGTCCTCTTCCTTGCTTTGTGGTTCTCAATGAAGCTGTCCCACAACATGGATGAATGCCATTCACTGATCCATTGAAATTTGAAGCCAACAAAAACAAGATCGAGTTTGCTCTTAAAAGACGAGTGGGAGCCAACATCCTTTGCTTTTCCTTTCCAATTCTCATAAAGCTCTGCAAACAGAACTAAGTGAGAGGCAACCAGTTCTGTATTTCAGTAGTTCATGGGTGTACGAACTGAGCTAGGCCCGGTGGTACGACGGATGACGAATGACAGCAGAAACGAAAAACTTCGGAAAAGTCAAAAACAAAGCACAAAAAAAAGCAAAAGAAAAAAGCAAAAAACAAAAAAGCAAAAAACAAAAAAGCAAAAAACAAAAGCAAAAAAAGAAGCAAAAATCAAAGGAAAACAGAAATGGAAAAAGGGGTGAAAAAGCATTAAAAAAAACAAAATTAATTAAAATCAATTAATCAATAAATAAATAAGAAAAAGAAAAAAAGCAAAAGAGAGAGCAAAACGGAAAGGAAGAATAAAGCAAAACGAAACAGCAAAGAAAGTGCAAAGAGGGCAAAAGGAAGAAGAAACAAGAGCAGGAAGCATAGCAAAAGCAGCCATGTCTCCATACCTGCTGCATGAAGGTATTCTCCCCGGTCTGTGCAAACTGTGGAAATCTCTCACGCAAAATCTGGGACAAATGGAGACACAAACATACAGAAGCACATATCAATGTAACAAAACGGATACATCTTACGATTGATGCCTCCAGACCAGCAACTTTGCCTCTACAACAATACACAATAACAACAAAGCCCTTGGCATTCAACGCAATATCACTTCTCAGGCCCAAACTCTTTTCAGGCCCAAACTCTCACGGAGAAGTCTGACCATGACCAACTGAATGCTAATGGTCACAAAAACAAATTCCTGGTCACAAAAACAAATTCCTGAAGCCATTCACCCACCACTCTTTAAGTGTGTCCTCCACTCACACCAGCAAGGATGAAATACGTCTTTACCCAGCTACAACTCTCTCTCTCTCTCTCTCTCTCTCTCTCTCTCTCTCTCTCTCTCCTCTGTGTGTTCAGAAAGTCTGGGTGCCGTGTTGCCCCCGTCCTCGTACCCCATAACCTCCTCCTCACCAATCTGTACCTTATCCATCACTTTCTCCTCCTATCTTCTTATGTTGCTTCTTCTTTGCATTCTCATTCTTCTTTTCTTTATCCCTCACTTCCTCCTCCTCCCCATTTCTCCTTCTTCTTCTACTTCTTACTTCCACTTCGAGGGAACCGCATTTAAACTTTGCAACACACAAGTCCAAAACGCTCAGAGAGAGAGAGAGAGAGAGAGAGAGAGAGAGAGAGAGAGAGAGAGAGAGAGGGAGAGACAGAAAGTGACAGAGGAGCTGCAGGGAGGGAAGAGTGAGGGAGACCCCACCAGGATGGAGAGAGGGAGGGAGGAATGGCACTGCCCACGTGGAGGAATGGCACTGCCCACGTGCACGAGCACAACAGTCAGAGAGGGAGAGAGACGAGTGGGAGGGAGGAGGGAGGGAGGCACGCTACTGGGCGAGCGCAAAGATGTGTGGAGGTGTGTGTGCGTTGGCATGTTCACTATACTCAACTCCACAAAAAAAACGCATGACTGTGTCAAACTGTTTCGTTGGACTTTCACCGAGTCATCAGGAGGTTGTCATGTTTGCTATAGACAACTCCCCTTAGCGAGCACAAAGACGTGTGTGTTGTTTTAAAAGACCCCAGAGTCTCTCTTATTCCCTTCGCAAATCATCACAAGCCATCCATAACGAAAAAGTTTAGATAGGCATGTTCCCTATCCCCAACTCCACAAAAAGAAGAAAAAGAAGCATGACTGTGCCAGACTGCTTTGTCGGACTTTTACCGACCCATCAGGGGGTTGAACCCCAACAGTCTGCCCAGGATGCATTTGACTGATGGATAAGGACTCGGCACGTTGCCCAGAGTTAGCGATATCCCTAACTTAAGAGAGAAAAAGTGGTCGCCTTTACTCACACCAACCCTACAACCATAGCAGACCGTTGGACAAAACCCCAAAACCCCTTACAAGAATGGCAGTAAGTCTGAGAGTGTCTCGGTTTTGAATTTTCACTACAACAGCCTGTTGTGTTCACTTTGGCTTTTTCGGGTACCCATCTGCGTGTTGTCATGTTCGCGATATGCAACTCCTCAGGGAAAACATGACTGTGCCAGACTGTTGCATCAGACTTTCACCCACTCATCAGGCAGTTGAACCCCGGTGGTCTGCCCAGCATGCATTTGACTGATAGATAAGGCCTCGCCGCGTCGCCCAGAGTGAGCAATACCCCTGAGAAAAGTGGTCGACTTGATTTCACACCACCCAGCAAACCCCTGACGAAAATGGCAGTATGCCTCAGAAACTAGTCTGCCACAGCCATAAAACCCACTCCACAGACCCACTCAGCCACTGGTATCCACTCTGTGTGTGCGTGTGTGTGTGTGTGTGTGTGAGAGAGAGAGAGACTGCAATGACTTGCTGATTTCTACTGCCGAGATTGACTGCGAGGCTGTATACTAACCTGTAGGGTTAGATTCGTAATTTTGTTTGGCTGAGGGCTAACCGAGAGACCTGCCTGTGAGGAAATTCGTGAGGGACAGATCTGCAAATCCGGGAAAATATAGGCCCGGTACTAACCCGAATTCCTACAGCTACCCTAACTGCCTATAGCAGGCCCGGGCTACCCCTAGGACAGACAGGCCAGAAGTGGCCTATTCTGATAGACGGTCCTATAGCCTATAGCCGGGTCCGGTAGAGGCCGAGAGGCCGAAACAGCAACGGTACCGGTCGGTCAGTCAGTCCGGTCTAGGTCTAGAGAGTCTATAGATAGGTTAGGCCCACCGGTTCAGGACTTCTGGCAGTTCATTTTCTCGCGAGCAGCGTTGGAGAAGCCAAGCAAGTGGGTGGCGGTATCTGTCTACAGGCGGCATCCTGAGACGCGCCGTGACAGCAGCCATAGYCGGCCCTCTCTGAGTCTGCCATAGCTGGGGCATCCTCRGCGCATATACCYSTGGGGGTATCTGCGTATGGCCGGGCTGTATCGAGGCTCTACAGTGGAGGTTCRTGGGTGGTGGCAGCCATAGCTGCCTGTTCCTTCGTCAGAGTTGTCCATCGGCACTGAAGACTYCATCGCAGGACCTRTTCTTCATCAGGGTGGTTGGCGCTGGCCTCTGGGAGGCTGTTCTGATGCAGCGCTACTAACTGGGTGTAGGATAGAGAGTGGGGTGAGAGTTCTGAGGGTGGYGAGATACTGGAACAAACTCTGTTACGATAATTGTGTGAGTGGTTCATCGTCAGTGTCATTTTCAATTGTGATCTTCGCARGTTCTTTCTTGTGATTGGYTGTTGGGAGTTGTGTCAGAGAGTGAGAAACACTGTGTTCTCTTCCCATCTGTGCATGATTGTCTTCCGCTGCTTATCTTTACCTGTGTGCAGTTTGGACTCTGTCTCCTCTCTCCCCTTCTCTTATGCATGTATGGGCATGTGTGAGATTGTCTGTGTGTGAGTGGCGATAAAATTCGTCAGACAACCAAGTTCATAACAGTTGGTATCGGAGCGAGATTGGAATTGGAGCACTGAGGGTTGAGCGCACTGGGGCATCTTCTTCATCTGGCAACATACTGGCGAGAGTCCCCTGGTGATTCATCTTCCCCAGTACTGAGTCAGCAGGGAAGAAGATTTTCTACGGTGGATTCAAGTGTTCAGTGGTGGCACTGAGCAAGCGCACTGAGCCTGTCAGGGCGCTTGTCAGCTGAGGGTGATACAGTGAGTTACCCCAGAGTGGCGAATTACCCCTGAGGACATCAGGGAACCCTGAGCGGCATCATCCCTGGGTTGCGCTGAGAGAGATTGACCTACTGTATCAATCTCCAGGAGAAATATCCCCATCTGGGCTATTTTTAGCATCAGCGGCAACCAGGCACTGTGGCGAGATATTTTGGTGTTGGCGAGTTGGGTGCCACAGGACCAGATACAGGGTATCTGGAGTAAGGGAGTGCAGCGCTACAGGATCCTGAGGGGGATCAACGACTTTGAAGCAGTTCTGTGCGTGGGATTGTCAGGAAGAAGCTCTGGAGAAAATTGGCGAGATAAGGGTTTATCTGTCTGACAGTGACTGGATGTGAAAATCGCAGACTGCCTGACAGCCATAGCCATCTCTCCCCTACCTCTCTCTACTCATATCTCAGCCTCTGTTGACTCTTTCTGGTCCAAATTGGTTCTGTGACTGCTATACTGTATTGCGATTGTCCTGGGATGCTTAAACAGTGAATTCTGTACTGGAAAGGTAGTGATACTGTGAATTGCTGTTTTGCGCTGAGTCTATTTTTAGCCTGTGCTACCTAGGGTCAGTCATAACTTCCATTCTGTCCGTCAGAATCCAGTTCTGTCAGTCCCCAGTGAATCGCAATTTAAAAATAGTCAGTACTGTTAAATCGCAGAGTTGGATTTCTAGTATTTCACTGGATACAGTGAAAACTGTGATTCGCCATACCTTAGGGTATGGCCGACACAGTCATCAGGGACTAAAATTGAGTCTGGGTCAGGATACAGGGTAACTGTCTGCATCGCTTGGTGCATTTGATCTCGCTGTGTCGGTTCTAACCATCTTCCATCATTCCCACTGACTACGCTTGTTTTCTAGTGGGCACTGGAAATTCTAGTGGGTCTCTGGAAAAGTAATGGAGTGACACTTGACCCCTGTGTCGTCCAGGGTCAGTAAAAGGAAATCGTGTGACAGATTTTGCTAGACTTACAGTCTGTCTGACACCTGACCCCAGTGACACCCTTCTAACCCAAACCGTTGTTGCCTGTACACCCACCTATTCCAGTGTTGAGTTGCTGCAGCGATTCCAGTGTGTCTGCAGGAATTTGAGTATCACTGCAGCTCTGCCTGCTGTTATTTTATTTTGGTTTTTATTTGAATTGGGAAAATGTCGGATCAGGGAAATGAGCAGCAGCCACAGGTAGAAGTTGTGGTGAAGGCAGATGGTGCTCAACCTTCTACCTCCATTACCCCCCCTCCACCTCTGACTGCTACTCAGAGGCTGAAGAAGGAGGCGGAAGAACAGCTCAAGCTGCAACAGGCCAGAGTAGCAGAATTGGAACGGCAGGAGGCTGCAGAGCTAGAGGCTGCAACAGATCACTCCAGAAGGGAGTATCTGTTGCAGCAGCTAGAGAGGTCGCTCACTGATGATCGTTGTGCCCAGATCACCAAGCATATGGCTGAGATGATCTTGTTGGAGCACAAGATCACCAGCTCCCAGTTCACAAACTGGGATGACCATTTTGTGCGGCTGGAGCGTCGGGTTGACGAGCTGTCAGCTCAGCAGTCCAAGATCCTGAACTCTATCCAGGGCTTATCTGCTCAGCTGGCAGCCGCCAAGCTGATTACTCCTCAGCTCCCCCTTGTGCAACCTAAAACCCTCCCCTCCTCCTTCACGACCTCCTTCCCCTCATCCATCCCATGCTGGATCTGCACATTCTTCCCGGTCATCTACCCCTTCCCAAAAGGCCTCAATAAAGGCCACCTATGCTGCTGTGACTGCAGCAGACAGAGGTCCCAAGATCCCTGCTCCCAACAAGTTCAGGGGCGATGACCCTAAGACTGATGTTGGGGACTGGGCTGCTGGGACC